ACGGAAGGGAATTCACCACCGTTCATCAACCTCACTGACTATGAGAAAGTATTTGATAGCTAGGACAGGATGACATTATGGAGGTTCCTTAGACACTACGGCGTGCCTGAGATAACAATTACGATGGATTGAACTGCTAAATCGTGCAAGGAAGACAGCTCGTAGACTCGTGCAAAGTAAAAACCGGTGTCAATCAAGATTGTTTACTTTCAACCCTTCTCCTGGTGATCGACTGGATTATGAAGATGTCAATATCTGGGAGGAAGCACGGGATTCAGTGAATAGCTGAGATGCAGCTGGGCGATCTAGACTTCGCAGATGATCTGATTCTTTTATCGCACATGCACCAACGTGTGCAAGAGAAGACGACCAATATAGCGACAGTAGGACTAAGCATATACAAGGTAGGAAGCTATATCCTCCGATACAACCTAACATATCCCAACTGAATCACACTTGACGGAGAAGCATTGGAAAGTGCAAAAACCCTTACATATTTGGGCAGCCTCACTTATGGGCAAGGCGGATCTGATGATACGAATGCGCGGATTAACAAAACAAGAGCAACATCTCAACAATTGCAGAACATCTGGAAATCAACCAACACCAAAGTCAAAATTTTCAATCCGAATGTCAAGACAGTTCTACTGTATGTAGCGGAAACCATCATCTACAATATTAAAGTGTTTATATAACAGTTGTCTACGCAAAATACTTCAGATCCGTTAACCAGACACCAACAAAGATGATCGTGAGAAAGGACAAACCAGATTCCGGCAGACAAAGAACTCAGGAAGTGGATAAGACGCAGCACAATGAGGAAAGAACCCAACTGTCATAATACCAGCCCTCACTCGTTATCCTCAAGGTCAAAGAAAAACGTGAAGACGAACAAACATATTACGCCAAGAAATAGAGACAAACAATGAACAAAAATTTGATAGAACCACAAAGGAAGACAGAGTAGTTTGGGGAGTGCTGGTCGCAAGGCTTATGTTTCATTAAGGTTAACATGCGTTAGTAACTAATAAATAAAATTATCTTGACTAGTTTAATATTTTCATATAACTATTATAGTATATACTAAATCCCAATTCAAATCTAATAAAAAAAAAATAGTATTATTCGTTCATACAATTATTAGTCATAATTCGAGGAACTGCTTGTACTTGTTATAGACCAATCAAATAGATTATTAAGCTTGGAATGTACAGTTGTTATCCATCCATATAGTCCATATGACACGAGATAATTACGTCACTATAAAAAAAAAAGAACTCTTCCAATCTAATCATCATCATCATCATCTATTATTTTTATTGATTGAATCCGATTGTCTTTTTGCATAGACTTGACACATCATTTATTTAACGTAACAAAATAGTTTTCTAATTGATACAACATGTGTCACGAAATTCACCTTTGTATTTTTGAATACGTTTAAAGTAAGTAATTTATGTTAATCATTGGGAACATTAATTCAGTTATCCACTACTACTCATCGGTAAAACGGATTGTTTTTTTAAAAATAATAACAACAACTCTAATTATAACGAACGCGTAAGCAACAATCATCAAGTGGATTTTTGACAAGCTAACGCTAAATCCAGACAGATCACGTGCTTGCGCTTATGGACACGTGAGAAATGTCAATATGTAGTGTAGTATAGTATAGTATAAGTAAGCTATTTTGCTTGAGGTTTAATTCAGTCATTTGACGTATATATATATATATACATATATAATTGAAAACTATTTAAGTATAACATTGTATTTATTTATAAGTATACATATGTATATATATATATATATATACATATATGATTTAAGTATTATTCCTTTTCATCATATAAAAAATATAACGCAACAAGTTCAAAGTAATAATTTTTTTTTAAAAAAAAAGCACAAAAAAAACATGAATAAGCAAGAGATCATGAAATTGTAATAACATTGACAAAAAAAGAGGAGAGAAGAGAAGAGAAGAGGAGAATCCATTAACAACAAATTATTTTTTATAAAAAAAAAAACAAAACAAGAATATTAGTTTTCTAACTTTGTTCAAAGTTCAATGTTTTTGTTTTTAAAAAAAAGAAATGTTATAGAACAAAGATCAAGTCATTCAATATATATATATGCATATGCATATATGCATATATATATAAGACAAAAGAAAATTGTGATCATTAGTATATATATATATATATTGGACGGGAAACAATAAATAATGGGGGAACTAACATTAACGGTATTTATATATATATAAACATAATCAATCAGGAAAATGCTCCTGACCGCAAAATATAAAAGGATAAGAAGGAAGAACAACAAAATGTGTACGGTGTGAATGCATATCATCGCTCGAGCTCTCTCTCTCTCTCACTGTCTGACAGAGAACTTGTGACGACAGTTGTACACGGATGAAATGATAAGATAAGATAAGAGAGAGTGAGTGAGTGAATGAGAGTTAGAGGTAGGTAGGTAGTTTAGGTACACACACATATATAGGTAAGTAATTATTCTCGATTGTTGGTTTGTTCTCTACAACAACAACAACCAATTAATTCATTAATTAATAAATTAATAATAATAATAAATATATATATCCAATAAAAGTAATCATCATTATCATCATAATAACAATAATAATTGTTCTATAAAATAAAATAAAAAAAACAGACTCAAACCAACCAAAAACACAAACAAACAATATCAATAACTAAATAGAGATAGAGATAATCAATCATATTAAAAAATATTTCACTAAACAAATCAAATAGCACAATACAATTTGTACGGGTAGACAAAGAGAGAGAGAGAGATGGAGAGAGCAAGAGTATGAGAGTGAGAGGTAAAAATGTTGCGCCTACTTATTCTTCTTCTTCTGCTTACAATTATTCATGTGTATTATTTGTTGGTAAAATTAAAAAAATTCATACATAATACACAACAAAATTGTACATTTGTATGTGTGCAAGGTGGATGTTGTGTTGTGTGTGTAGATTTAACAAAATAATCAATAATAATAATAATAATAATAACACCAACCCAATTGACCATGAGGATAATAGAAAAGCGGGAGAATGAATGAAAATAATAATCAAGAAAGAAATATTTATATATATATATATATATATATATATATATATATATATATATATATATATATATATATAGATATATATGAAACAATAAAAACACAAACTATACAGATAGAGAGAAACAGAGAAGTATGCACTATTGGTGTTGTTGTGGTTCTCTGTTTGAAACACCGTTCATAATACAATGATGATGAGGTTGAGTATTTAAAATGTCTAAATGACATCAAGATTGTTGTAAAATAGTAGTATAAAACAAAATGATAGAGAAAAATCATTTAAAGGGCACAACGGGGACTATATATATATATACTATATAGAGGCAGTCTGGATTTTTTTTTGGGATGGGGGGGGGTAAAAACACCAAAATAAAATTACAAAATGACAAATACGTAAACATACATACATACATATATATCTCTATATAAAGATAATCATAATATATGTAGTATGTAGAAGTGATTACATTTAGGTACGCATTAAAATAATAATAAAAAAAAAGAAAAACAGCGCGGAACTCCAAAACTCCAAAGACAAAAAGAAAAATCAAACAAAAACTAAAATTACCCCCGGAAATGATATACAAAAACCATTGAACAACAATTGACAAACAAACAAATTGAACATTGACGCAATCAATTAAAACACAAGAAAAGAGAGTATAAAATAAGTAAAATAGAGAGACAGAGAGAGATCGTCATTTAGTTTCACGTGAATTGTGTACAAACTTGCCTAAAATATCTATTTATTATTATTATTATTATTTAACTTAAGTCTCGTTTTTTTACTCTTCGACTACAGGCCTCACTCTCCTCTTTGATGATATCATTCATACACAGTGTAGTTAGTTAGTGGTGAGCAATGAAATCATGTTGGTTAAGAAAGGAAGAGTTTAAAAATTAAGGTTCAACATTAATTATGGTAAAAGTAAGTAAGTAAGTAATGATAATAATTATATAAATTATAATAAGGAACAATTGGAGATCATTTTACACACGTGTACTACATCCCACAAAGAGGATGATTAGAAGAGAAACAAATAGAAACCTCTAATGTTAAGCCAATTAATTAATTGATCGATCATCAGTAAGTAGTTCTGTTTCTACGTTTTTAAGAAAAAAGGAGTAAAAATCACATTTTTATATATAAATAAATATATATGTACAAAAAATACACAATGAGGGAAGAAAAAGAGGGTAACGTACACATACATACATACACACACACAAACAAATGACAAATGAATTAATTGACTTGAAAATTAATTAATTAATTCACTAACTAATTATAATAGGAAATAAATGACCGAGTAAAATTGATTGATGATGACATTGTTAAAAATTCAACCAGTACCAGAGCAGCTTGTAGAGAGGCGTACAATTTAAGCGCCATATGTGATGTGCGTGTTTGTTCGTGCGTGTGTGTGTGTGTACAGGACATTGTGTGAATATGTAAGTAGATTAAGTGTGAAGAATGGAAAAAAATAAACAAATAAGCAAAAACATGTGCACACCGAGAATAAATATCATTAAAAAAAATCACAAAAACTGTAGGTTAAAAGAGAAACAGAGGCCCGGCAGTCGAAGAGTTAAGGATGAGACTCGCACAAAACAAATGAGATAGATTTTTCATTAGAAAAAATTCCTCTTTTCTTTTTTATAACATAAAAGACTAAGAAAAAGGAGATAGTGTCTAAAAATAACAACGTATATATATAAGCATTAAAATGTTTAGCTCTATGGTGTGGTGTACATTATCGAGTCCTAGGGAAATTAGTTGTACATAATAATAAAAATAATAATAATAATAATAGTAATCATAAACATGATGACTTCTGAAAAAAACTATCCTAAAGAAATGAAAAATTTAACAGTAGTAGTAGTAGTAGTAGTAGTAGTAGTCAGTAATGGTAGCTTGAATATACACACACATTTCTGTTTTGAAATATGAGAATAAATGAAAAATTTCATCACTACAAACATGAAAAGATAAAATTTGAGCAGTTGTAAGTAAGACTGTCAGTCAAGTCATACATGCATAAAATTACACTCATGAATGATATCGATTGATTGGTAAAGAAAAAAAGCATAGGCGATAAATGATGAATAAGCATTGAAATAAACAAACAGTAAGCCTTATTAAATAATAACATTGCACACAATTTCCATGTAAAACTTAGTTTGAACCAAAAATGAAAACAAAACATTCTTTACAGAAAAGAAGAGAAAAGTACACCGTCTAGCTACAAAGATGCCCAACATTAATTCGTGCACCTACACAACACACAAATAATCAACCATATTGGCACGCATGCACACACACACACATAGAGAGAGTTCTCTATTTATTATTTTCTTATACTCGAGAATTAACCAATTTTCTTACGAGTTCCACGACCAATTAAGCGTATTGAACGACATAATGTTTTTTTCACCGATGTAGTACGATTAATTTTACTGGCATTATTACTACTACTACTACTATTACTATTACTGGTAGTAATATGATTACTCCATCGATTGACAAAACGTTTATCACCTGTAGTATTCGTAGTAGTAGAAGAAGGTAATTTATGCAACATTTGATTTTCTTGTGTCATAATAATATCATCAGATAATTCACCTAATGCCATTGTACGTGCAAAATCAATTTGTGCATAGTTCACACAATTCTCATCTGATAATTCAATCATATTTTGAATAATAATATTACTGTTATTATTATTAGTAGTATTAGTAGTGTTAACACTACCACTTTCCACTGACGAAGTACCAGATGACGTCATCGAACGACATGATGAAAACAAATCACCAAATGAAATTGACGAAGTAGGAGGTACTACTAAAGAAGATTCTGTGGATTGACATGATGATGACGAGGATGATGTCACTTCACCGAGACCGCTGCTACTTTTTGATGAATCCGGTGAATTGCCAAAATCACAAATTAAATTCTCCTTCTTTTTCTTCTTAATGAAACGATTAGAATCATTCACAATATCTGAACTGGATAATTGAGTTGTATAATCAATAGCAGTAGTAGTCGTAGTTGTTGTAGTTGTCAGTGTTGAAGCAAAACAACTATTTGACGCAGCGATAACATGAATATAATTTAATAGAATTGATGGATGATCTGTTGTTGTTGTTGTTGTAGTATTTACCAATGATAAACTATGACTATGTCTACGACGTGAAGTAATGGAACCACCAGTCAATAAATTATGATCGCCACCATCATTGTCACCGAATGAATGCTTTGTTTTCGATTTATTTAGTTTACTATTACATGAATTATTATTATTATTATTATCGTTAGAAGTGCCAATAGTTTTATAACTTTCCACAGTATCTGATGTTAGAGTGGCTGCATCACTGGTACAATCACCACTACTACTACTACTACCGGTACCAGTGCTGTTATTTAAACTAATATAACCGCCACTACTACCACTACTGCTACCACTACTACTACTACTACCACCAGTTGTGCATTGACCAGTTCGATGATCATTATTATGATTATGATGTTGAATCATGTTCAATGTTAACTCTGTAGGTGGGATAGATGAACTTGCTGGACTAGGTCGTAAATCGACCATAGCATAATTTCGACTAGGATCACGAACCTGAAATGAATAAAGAGAGAAGGAGCAGGAGATAGAAGAAAATGAATAGAGTAGAATGCTAGTAGTAGTCAATCAAAAAAAGGTTCTATTCTCTACCATGAACAGCTGCAGGCATAGAAACAAATCCAAACTGGTATAAAAATTCAGTAGTCGATTTAAACAGTGGTATTGTAAAGTTCACAAGATAACAATACTGAAATACAGATAATCCAAGTTTAAAAGAATGAGTCAGCTATAAGGAACGTAAAACATGACCCTAGTATCTATTCTGTTCAAGTTGTCACATCGAATCAGTAGTACAGAGAGAGATGAAAATCAACTCGCAAAATTTACATCTACCAATAAAGCTCAAAACTAACAATAAATAACTTCATTAGTTAATATCAAACTTTAGTTTAATAGTCCTTACTTTTTGTTCAACACATACACCAACAGCATCATTGGGTATAAGTAATATTTGTTATTTTTGCCAACTAAGCCATGTCTAAACCCAGTATCGTTTATTCAATAGTCTCAACCATACACGAGCAATGCGTTGAAGGTGTCTACGATTAGATATAAGTTACATTTCATAGCTATGAAGTCCACCAAATCGCAATGTCACTACTACTCAGTATACCTCGTTCTTTATTAGCAGATGCGCACTTCATCTACCTACGCCATACGTGACGTAAACTGGCAAAAGTTAAGTTTGCTTACATTGAGCACTGACTAGAGACAGATAAAGATGAAGTAGAAAGTGATTACTGAGATAAACCATACGAACACAGTACGCGCAATAGTTAGTTATACAACCAACACTCTCTCTTGCCAATAATCATTCTATGCCGCATAATACCAGCGTACCTTCTACACTATATGACAATAAAATACCCTATTACACAATCAATATTAGTAGATTATAATTTGTCACTTTTCTTAACGTTTGCTCTTGTCAAAAAAACAAACATGTAAATATGTTCTCAAGTGTGAAGCAATTTCGTATATATATATATATATATATATATATATATATATATATATATATATATATATATATATATATATATATATATATATATATATAGTTTAAATTATTTAAAAACGTCAAAATCAAGCAAAATGATTACCTCATCAGGTAGATTTGAATAATCTGAACTGGTAGGTAAATTTACCGCTGGTCGTACTCTTGCTACTGCTTCTCGACAACATTGAGGTAGTGTTGATGTAGCAGTAGCAGTAGTAGTAGTAGTATTAGTATTAGTAGAAATAGGATTAATGAGTGGTGAAATCGGTTCAAATGAGTAAGATGGCTTATTCGATACATCTATGAGTTTCGATAGTTGTGATTCACCAGCACCAATGAACAAATTACTACTACTATTACTACTACTGCTACAATCAATCATACTGCTGGTAGAAGTACCATCACCACCAGCAGCAGCAGCACCAGCACCAGGATGATGATGATAATGAAAACGATTTTTGCATAGTAAATTGAAATCTGTTTTACTCGGTTGTTGTTGTTGATTTTTAACTGATTGCTGTTTATTACTAGTAGTATTGAAAAGCATCATATTAGCATATAATCGAGGACTTATTGTTGTTGTTGTTGTGATTGGTGTTGTCTGATCAGCAGTGAAATATTGTTGTTGCTGACATGATGTGGACGACCTAGAAATTACTGACGAAAGTGTACCAGTAGTAGTAGTAGTAGTGGTAGAGCGATGATTCGACCAAAACATTGGTAAATTAACATAACTGGCTGTTGATTGACTCTGATGATAACCATCGTCGTCGTTAATAGTGGTGACATGAAGAAATTGTGATGTCAATGATAAATCGTCCGATTGTATATTACCAGATATTGAGGTAGATGTTGTCGGCAATGAAGATTGAAGGGAAGAAATCGATTTCAAACCATGAGCTGATGATGATGATATACTACTACTAGTACTACTAATAACACCATCATTATTACTCAAAGAACGAGCAGTTTCACGTAAGTTAATCAAATTATTATAGACAGGCTAACAAGAAAACAAAGAAAACAAACAAACGAATAAATTAAATATATTCCATAAGTAATCAATTTCAGTATAAAAGTTAATTTCAAATGTGTAAAAACACAAACCTCCAAAAACACTGACTCAAAATATCGTACCAGTGCTCACTTGTGACTACTAGCTTCTTCGTGAGGAAATTCTCAGAGTTCTACTAGTTGAGAAGACGTGACCATTGTGGAGGAGTTCAACCCTGTCGAGTGTAGGCAGTAACTACCAAAGACAAATGGGTGAGGTCACGCAAAATCCCTAGATCAATCAGAGTTAGACATTAACACCGTTGGATGCCGCCAGCCTAGTGGTCCGATGGTTAGGCGTTCGTGTACAATACCGAAGGTCCCGGGTTCGAATCCTGCGGGTTGCAGGAGTCGTGGATGCGCACTGCCACTGATGAGTCCCATACCAGGACAAAACGGCGGTCTTTCAGTGCTTCCAGGTTTCTAATGGTGGTCTAACAATGATTGATTGATGATTTCAAATGTGTAAAGTTAATTTAATTTATAAACCATTAAATAAAACAAGTGATTCATTCTTGTTCATTCAACTCATCAACAGCATTGAACCATACATATACCTCAGATAAAAAATTAATTGGACGAAATGAATTAATGATTTTACAATAATTATATATTTTGACTGTTGAATTGAGCTGTGTTAGCCGGCAGCAGACTATTACTTTGTTTCAGTTTCACACGATGATGGATGGATGATATGGAACAGAATTCGGTTGTATTGATAAATGTATTCGTTGTTTGTTTTGAAATGCTATCGTACAGTTTTATATCCCTGTTAGGATGTTTGTTATGCATTAATCCTTTGTAATGTCCATCTTGGGAGTCTCATCAGTCTTGATGGCCTGGTGTGTGACGAAATCTCAGCACTCATATAGAAGGCCAGATTGGCTTTTGCCAACTTGTGTTAATTTCTGCGTAGGCGAGAGTCTAGAACGAGTAGTCTATTGCGCAGCAGTTTACTCTGTCCTACTCTATGGCTGTGAAACATGACCAGTAAGATTAGAGGATATTCGTAGATTATTAGTATTCGATAATAGATGTCTCCGAAGGATTGCTCGCATATCCTGGGACCATCGAATAAGCAATGATGGTGTTAGGAAATGGGTACGGATGACAAATCAATTGACGGAGTATTGAAACTTCATTAGTTGAGGTGGTTTGGACATGTATACCTAATCACCGACTACCTCGACAAGCGAGGTCTGATGTAGAGGTACGTTGGAAGAAAGCTAGAGGGAGCTAAACCAAAATATGGCACCAGTCCATGAAGCAATTAACAACTGGACTGAGCCATTTCAGAAGGTGTAGACTATCGTCTATACGAAATACTTCAGATACGTTAGTCAGACACTATCAGCAACAACCTACTGTGTGGGAGAGAAAAAGCCAGACTCCAGCGGAGGAAGAAGCGCTGGAAGTGGATAGGACATACATTGAGGGAAGCACTCACCTGAGTCAAACGACAAGCCCTCACTTAGGAATCCTCAAGGAAAAGAGGAAGGCCAAGGAACAACATTACCTCGAATAATGGAGACAGACATGAGAAGAATGAACAAAAATTGGACAGAACTATAGAGGAAGGCTTAGGAAAGAGTAGGTTGGAGAATGCTAGTCGGTGGTCTATGTTCCGTTAGGTATAACAGGCGTAAGTAAGTAAGTAAGCAAGTAAGTAAGTGATTAAGAACTGTACATTTCCCTAACTCTCTTTCACAAGAAGAAATAAATATGGGAGACTTACATAATTAACCGGTAGTTGTTGTTCACGACCATCACCGATGGAAAGTGTGGATTTGTCAAGTTGTTCATTGAATTCTCTGCATTGTCTGTTAGCATTATTATTATTATTATTATTACTACTACTACTACTACTACTAGAGGCTTCTGTAGTTACCATACGAGAGGATGGATCAATTTCTGATTGATAAAAACATTTTCGACTTAATACATAATCTAATCTATCATTACTCATACTAGTAATGTTTGTAGTATTATAATCTTCTGACATGTTGCAATGAATGGAATTACGATGATTTGAACGATGCCGGACAGCATTTCGATTAGGAATACCAATTTCCAATGAATTAACATACACATGATGATTATTCACATTATTCCATGTATTTGTATTATTGATTAATTGATCAGGTGGAATTCTTGTAGCTGGTAAAGTATTTGCTCGTATTGTCGAATTGAACATGGATGGTGACATGGATGATTTGACATTATTATTATTATACACAGAACGATCAAATAACTTAGATAGATATGATTGTCTAGTGTGACTACTACTACTACTACTACTACTAGTAGTAGTAGTATTAGCACTTTTGTTATTTTTATTATAGGATAGTGAATTTGTAGAATAATTCAATTCACAATTGTCAGTATTGTCGATTACACTGTTTCCAGTACAAAGTGATCTCGGCCATGTAATCATCATATTACCCTTTGTTGTTGTTGTTGTTGGCAGTTGCAATGCTAGACCTTCTGAAGAATAGCTCGATGATGAAAGTGATGGCGTTGTATGTTTATCCGAATGTAATGATGATGATAAGGATGACAATTGTAATATGTCACAATCCATATTACTACCACCACCACTATGATGTACATGATCATGTGTACATGTATCAGCATCATCAGCATCAGCATGTTGTTGGTGTTTTCTCTGTGGACAAGATTTCACTAGACCAGATAGATTATTATTATTATTTTGATTATTGTAAGAATTTATACGTAACAAGTAAAATGGTATTTCATTGAATAATTCAACATTAGAATAATAATAATAATAATAATAATTCCATAAAGGATTATTTATGAAAGATTTCTCAATAGTATTTCTATAATTGACTATTGAATGATATTTTAAATCACTTGATGATGATGATGATGATGATAATAGTAATAATGCTGAACTATTGTCATTGTCAGACGTCGTCGTCGTCGTCATCATCTTCTTCTTCTCGGAATGACATGATTTTGGCACAGTTGACAATGATTCATATGGTTGTTGTTGTTGCTGTTGAGAATTATTGAGTGATTTTAAACTAGTGTTATTATTATTATTATTAGTACGCCATTCTAATAAGTCATTATAATAATCTTCTACACAGAATGATGATGATGTTGTTGATGATGATGATGGTGATGATGATGATGAATGAATGAAATTTAACTTAGATAAACATGGTTCAGAGCATGGCAATGAATTTAATGATGTTAACGATGGACTACGATGAGTGATTGATGCCAAATAATACTGATCAATGTTTGAAGTGCGAGTTGTAGGTGATGGTGATAAGGAATGGGAAATTTTGTTTTTAGGTAGCTAATGAAAAGAAAAATGGTAAATAATAATAATAATAATAATAATAATAATAATAATAATAATAATAATAGTAATAATAATAAATAACGATATGCTTTTGAATGCTATGATGAGTTCACCTTAGTTGGTAAACGAGAATGAGACAATAATGACCCAGTGTGACACGATAAGCCCAGTATTACTGAAGCAGTAATATTAACTATTCATTAGCTTAACTAAATATTGAGTTAAAAAAAATCACATTTATTCTGATTATTAACTTAAATTTTATGCTAAACAATAAGTGACTAGTTTCACTACTTCAATAGATGAAGTAGTGAAACTTCATCAGTTGACGTGGTTTGGACATGTGCTGCGTATGGCTAACCACCGACTGCCGCGACAAGCTATGTTTTGTAGTGTAGGAGTAGATTGGAAGAAAGCTAGGGGTGGCCAAACCAAAACATGACACAAATCCATGAAGTCACTGACAAATGGACTGAGTCATGTTGGTAGATGTAGACAACCTGGTTGGGGTCCGCGAGACGATAGTCACCGATTGTTAGAGGCCTTGAACGATATGGCTCGGAATCATTTGCAATGGCGCAGGTGCATCCACTCTTCGTGTTCTCTGAAATTCTAACCTACTGAATTCTTCATCATTTTTACCTTACTCTTTCTAAATTTATCCTACTGAATTACACTTCTCGAATCAAATGTTAGCTCCGTAATCTTCTCCATTACTGCTAATACTTGTATTAATGCTATCACTGTTGGATTTGAACTGACAGTTACGTCTCTGTGCTGATGGGGCATGGCAACCTGAACTGATGTACTTACGTACGAAGTTCTGTGTTGTATCTGTCTATTACTGAAGCAGAAGTCTTGATATGCCGTCAAAAGTGTATTCTACAAGCATCCAGAAAATATAATGATCTCAAGTTTATTTATATACACCATAGAAACGTCTTTGGAAGAGCCACAAAAACAGCATACTAAAGTAATTCATCAACCAATAAAACAGTCAAGGATTTTCCCAGTGGGAAATGTGATCTCAAGGTCAACTGAGCAGCTTATGCGCGAAAACATAAAAAATTCCAAGTGAGGAGTTCTGGGGAACGTCCCTAATAAGTAATAAGTAATAGTAATAATAATAATAATAATAATAATAATAATAATAATAATATTTCTTGTCTTTTTTTAATATTGTCGTTAAAATAATCCTAACTTCAACACTTATTCCAATCACTTGAGAGTCGAACGAGATTCTCTACTTTACTTAGTGCTATGCCGTCTAACTGGGTGATCCTGGCGCATTCACAATCGGTCAATATTTTGAAGGCGTCTATGGTCAAGTAATAAGTAATCTAGGAGTAAACTCTGTTTTTTTCAAAGTTACGTTTTACAGCTAGTTTTATTGAATTATACGGAGTGGACTACAAAGCAATATTACTTGTCATTTGATTGACAGAGACGTCTGACCTATGTCAAAAGTGATGTAAGTTTAAAAAAATAACCGCCTACAATAAATATATATCTCGTTTATGTCGAACAGTGTTAACATATAAAACAAAATGTTAAGCTGAAAATAGATCGTCGATTTACCTAAGTCGAATAAATACAATGCAATGAGTAACAGCAACAAATCTAAACTTACTGTATGCGAGCCTGTCATATACACAATTGGAGAAGTAACAACACACTTATTACCACCATCATTGTTGTCTTTGTGTATATTAGGATTTTCAGAACTTTTTCTTTCTGTTGTTAAACGTACACAAGATAGAGGTCGAGATAAAGTTGTAGAATTATTTACAGAATGAAGCGGTAGAGTTAATAATCTTGAATGCTTTTGACAAATAAATATTGATTTTAAGAGTTTTTTAGACGAAGGAATAGTCTTTCTTTTGCCAGTAGTAGTATCCAATCGTGAGATATGCTGTTGACCAGTATCATTAATTAAATTCCATCGAAGACTAAGAATACCATGACGTGGGCAAATAAAGATTCGGCAAAAAAGATCAACATTTCTATCAGAATGATCTTCATCATATGCATCATCATGATTATCATCGTGACGATTACAATGCCAGAATGGTGGTACATTAGTGTATAAAAATGTTTTCGATTTTATGTCATCTTTTAGTTGTATGTCAAAATCCAAATCGTGTAAAAGCTCTGATCTTTCCATTGGGATTTTTTCATGTTGAAGATTATTATTATTATTATTATTATTATGACTTTCAGGTTGTTTACGATGAAATAATCTGTTAATTGTATTGATAGAAAAATTAAAAAAAAATGGACCAATCATGAGAAATCAACATGCCATAACTTGTATTATAACACTGTGGTGCTGTGGTGCGAACTACTTATAAGTAGTATATAACGTGAGTGTCAACGTAAAGTCTGGTAGCATAATATTGGGGGGAAGATCAAGAAAGGAAGAGTTAGAAGAACACAATGGAATTTGTATGAAACGCATCATGAATAGTGACAATGGATTGATGTTGTTTGGCAACGTGAACAGTCCAGTTCCATAGGATGAACTGATCTTTTGCAAATGAACGATTTACGATATGGTTTTCCGATTTTACTGAGTAACTCTGTAATTTTCGTTAAATATACAATTCGGTTGCCCCACCTGTGTTCTCATTCACTACAACACCACATAAATAACATTATAAACTAACCTTACTTTATAAAGAGAGTTGGTATTATTCATGGTTAGCAACGGTTGATTCAATGAATATGTCAAGTACAAATCGAACAGATTCTATTGTTATTATAGTGATAATAACCCATTTGTCGATTGTGTTCGTCATAGATTGATTTCAGGGTATCAGTGAAAATTTAAAAGTACAAGAAAGTTGTCTTGTTGTAGCATGCGGTGACTCAGATAAGCGCACTCAGTGGTGCGCGCTACTTATAAGTAGTATATGACGTGAGTGTCAACGTAATGTATGGCAGCAGCAGAAGATGGGGGAAGATCAAGAAAAGAAGAGTTAGAACACAATGGGATTTGTATGAAACGCATGAACAGTGAAATGTCCGACAATGGATTAGATGTTTTGCAACAGGAACAGTCCAGTTCCATATGATGGATTGATATTTTGCAAATTAACGATTTACGATATGGTTTTATTATTTTACCAATTAATTCTGTGTTCTCCTTCACTACAACTGGACTAATTAAACACAATGACAAGATTAGTGAGAAATACTTATGGGAATATACTTTTGGTCAAGATTATTTATTCAGATTTTCTAAAGGATATGTACCTATATTTAGAAATGAGATGTGCATATAGGTTCAGTTTGATTAGCCAAGTACGTTGGTTAGAACACGCATATTGGGAGAGTATATCAGTAACACCTAAAGCTATCACATTACATTACAAATTGATTCGAGTGGGAAACTTGCACTTTTTTGGACTGTGATTCTATTGGTTAAGCTTTGCTGGAGTCAGAACCTGGTGAAATTGTGCGGGGGAAAATGCTGAGTACCAAATACTAGGAACAAATAACTGTCTAGAGCGACCTGGATTTGAATGGTATTTCAGCTAAGAACAATTTGTAACGTTTAACATATACTAATTGAACCAATCTACACAAAACTTTCTTAACCAACTTAGATGTTCAATATTTGCTTTGCTATAGCAATGATCAATAGAAAAGACAATTGCCATTATTAGTACAATCTATACTAATCATCAAACTACAATGGGAAGAATAGACCATAAGCAGGCAAACTGGTTAACCAGTCAACACATAAAAAAATATGTTACGATAGAGTATTTGTGTTGAAAGAGATTGATTGGTCAGTTATAAGCAATGAAGAACCTGGTACAAGTTTGTTACAGCATATTTGAACACAGTAACATGCCAGATTAGTGCAAGTATAATAAATATCAATAACCGTGTAACAGTAGCAGAGATAACGATCTCAGACAAAAAGAATGAGTGCAATTGTATTACTGCGAATAATTCTAAGCCACATCAATTGAATGCTATGACCTTTGATTTTGATAAGTGTGAGGAATCACTGTAATTAGGACAATCTAAATATAGGTTTATTTCAACCTATATCTCGTAAAATCGGTTATTGCCACATGTCAAAGTAGGCTGTGATTGGTTGGGTGCCGTGTAATGCACAGTTCAAAACCACTGCACATGATGAAGATTCACTGAGAGGAGGTATGTGGAATTCAGTTTAATAAGACTAGATAGATATGAACAGTAAGCCATTGAAATATCAGCAAAAAAAACTAAACACATGTGTGTAAAGACAAAACGATTCATCAAATACCCATGACAATTAACATCATCATCATCAAAAGAAAGAAATTACCTGTGAATTTTTTGCAAACGACCTCCACAAAAAGATTTATATAATGGAGAAGGAATAGAGATACGTGGATTAGCACAAAATGATTGCAAAGTCCTACAATGTTTTGAATCATGATCAATAGTAGTGGTCGGAGTAGTCGTAGTAGTAGTAGTAGTGTCCAAGACCGAATTGTTATCATCGTTTATAGCTGTCGTACAAGGAACAACAACACAACTGTCTAGTGAACGCATAGTTTTCACTGTTACAGATGGAGAAGTATTAACAAATTTAAGATTATTACTTGACAAACCAATGAATTGAATATTAGAGCTTGCTGAAAATGATCGTCGAAGTGAAGATATACAATGACAGACTCGATATTGTTGTAACCGGTGTCGGTAAATACACTGACCAGGTCCAATTAATGATAAATAAGAATGAGGAAAGATAAATGCTGCTGTATTGATCAACCGATTCAGTTCACATGAATGAAGTGATGATTCTTTACATGAATGTAATTCAGGGACAACAGTAGATGGGATTGTATCAGCTAGAAAAAAACATGAATAATAATAACAATAAAACATTCTTTTTAAGATGTTATAACGCATACTATTAAAGGTTAAATATCTTTAAAGTTTGCCAGTTATAAGTAACACGGAGCTTGAGACGAATACGCCTCAGCTCAACACATGCCACACTTCATATCTGTGTACAGGCAGATGACGTAATGAAGATGTCAGAGCTGGTAGAGTTTGAGAAATAAGAATTGATTCACGGAACGATGAAGTATAAGATAATATTAAAACTCAACATCAAAGGAGAATATAAATATTGAATAGATCTATGATATTTTGACCAATTCTAAACTATGTCATCCAACGTCTACAAGCACTGATTACTTTTACTTACTTACTTACTTACACCTGTTACCCCCTAAGGGAGCATAGGCCACCGAGCAACTCTAGCCTGGGCTTCCCTTTCCAGTTCTGTCCAATTTTTGTTAATTCTTCTCATATCTTTCTCTAATTCTCGGCGTAATGTGTTTCTTGGCCTCTCTCTTTTTCTTTGACCTCGAGGGTTCCAAGTGAGCGCTTGTCTTGTGACTTAGTTGGGTGCTTCCTCCAATTTGTCCTATTCACTTTCAGCGCTTCTTCCTGACTTCCTCCTCCATTGGGATCTGGTTTGTTCCCTCCCACAGTAGATTGTTGCTTGTAGTTTCTGACCAATGGATCTGAAGCACTTTGCGTAGATGACCGTTATTAAACGCCTGTATCTTCTTGATGATGGCTTTCGTAGTTCTTTAAGTTTCCGCCACATACAGTAGAACTTTCTTGACATTTGTATTGAAAATCCTGATTTTGGTGTCGATTGACAGTTGTTTTGAGTTCCAGATGTTCTTCGTTTGCAGAAATGCTCTTGATTTGCTGATCCGCGCACTCACATCTGCATCAGATCCATCTTGATTGTCGATGATGCTGCTCAGATATGTAAAGGTGTTAACGCCCTCCAAGGCATCTCCATCAATAGTGGTTTGGTTGTTGCCTGTTGTGTTGTATCGGAGAATCGTGCTTTTCTCTTTGTGTGTTGAAACCTTCTGCTGCTGCTACTGCTGAGGTTGTTGCGTATGCGATAGAAGAGCCGGATCACCTGCGAAGTCCAGATCGTCCAGCTGCATCCTAGCTGTCCATTGGATACCGTGCTTCCGTCCAGATGTTGACGTCTTCATAATCCAGTCGATGACCAGGAGAAAGAGAAAGGGTGAGAGTAAGCAACCTTGCCTGGCGCCGGTCTTTACCTAGAACGAGTCTGACAACCATTGATTCGGACAATAAATTGTATGAACTTCCGAACAGACAGTAGTCCTTTATACTTACCAACACAGCTCAGTCTAACAGTTAACAACTACATCAACTTGTAGGGAAATCTTGGTTTAACACACAGCCCTAAATTGTTAAAAGTGAAATTTAAATCAACAAAATCATGCCAGAAAAATGTATAAACTTACTTATAGCACAAAGATGATCAGATTTCTTTGATGTATTGACGTCATCAATTGTAGTTGTTGTAGTCACTTTTGATGAATGTATTAGTGATTTATGCTGACTATTGGCATTACTATGATCACGTAAATCCCAGTAATCTTCATCTGCTGTAAATATTTCATGATTAGGAGAGTTTTGGCTGCCTGTAATACAAGATGTAGTAGTAGTAGTAGTAGTAGTAGTAGTAATAATAGTAGTAGTAGTAGTAGCAGTAGAAGTAATTTCATCTGTATCACAAATATTCTTATCAACTTGATCTAATGTAGATTCCATTGAAGAAGAAGTAGCAGCAGCAAGACAATTTAAATCAGAACTTGATGTATGCAATGAATCTGAGATATGATGATATGAAGAAACAAGATTTGATGAACTATTATGATATAATCGTGAATATTGTTTCTCTTTCGATAATAATGATTCCGGATAAATTTGTGTACGATTATATTCACTAGAACATGATGATGAAGAATTATGCATAATACTATGAATATTAATACCAGAATCTGTACCAATGGATGGAATAGGCACTGATGGAAGAACTGCCGTTGTAGAACATCCACTGGACGATTGATTACCACCACCACTACCAGCACCACCACCATCGAAAATGAAACGATGATGATGAGTATGATGATGATGATGGTGATGATGAGGTTGATGTTGATGATGATGATGACAACAAGATGAAATTGTCGAGGAAGCAAGAACTGGAGGAAGTGGTGGCAATTGTGGTGCTTGTTTACAATGACTACTTGTAACACCACCACCACAAGTATTCATTGTAGTAGTGATAGTATTCATAGTAGAAGTACCAGTAAACATTGAATTCATTGATGTTAACGCAGAAATTCGTGTAGAATAACCACCACTAGCCGCAGCACTGTGTTGTTGTTGTTGTTGAGTATGATGATGATGATGTTGGTGATGAGGTGGTTTTCTTGAAATAATCAAACCAGCAGCAACTTTAGCTACTTGTATATTATTATTAATATCATCTGATGCATTTTCAATTAGATCATAACCAATCATTGGTGAAGAAGAAGACGATGATGACAATATATTCACATCATCAACTAGACGAAATGATGATGAAGTAATTGGGAATGTATTATTTGTCCCAGTAGTAGTAATACATAATGATGAACATGAACATATGGATGAGGTAAGTGGATTATTATTATTATTATTAAAATCCATAACATTATGAGATGTTTCTTTGAATGAATTCAAAATTTCAATCGGACTATTGTTACCTATACATAATAATAATAAGAAGTGAAAAAAATTATACATATTGACTGAATAAAAAAAAACAACCAAATTTTGAAGTTTATGATAATTAATTATTAAAAAAACAGTTTAAATAATCCCGATCAACATCATACATACCGATTGAACAAATTGATGATTATTTGAATTCAATGTTTCAATTGACAATGAACTGTCGGCCATTTTTTTAAATGTGAAAGATGATGGATTTGAGAAGAACAAGACAAGGCAAGATACCCCAACAACCTAATGGGATATGAATGAATCGATCAATCAACAGTAACGTAGAACTTCGTACATACATAGCTACATCAATTCAAGTTGCCATACCACATTAGCACAGAGAGATGTAATTGTCAATTCAAATCTCATAGTAGTAGAGGTAGTAAAGGCATTAGCAATAATCGGAGAGATTAGGGTTCGAGGATATAATATTCAAGAAGTATAATTCATTGTGATTAACGTTAGAAAGAGAAAGATATGGGATAATGATCAATTCAGGTTAAAATCTGAGAGAACACAGTGAATGAATGAACCTGTACCATGGCAAACGATTTTGAGCCATGTCATTCAAGGTCTCTAACCATCAGTTAATTTCGTCTCGCGGACCCCAGCCAGGCAGTCGACACCTACTAACTAACTAACATGACTTAGTCCACTTGTCAATGACTTCATGGATTTCTGCTATGTTTTGGTCTGGCCGTCCCTAGCTTTCTTCCAAAATCGCAAAACATAGCTGGACAAGGCAGTCGGTGGTTAGGCGGAGTTTAATGGGATATGAAATATACATTTGATGAAAGTGAATGTCTTAGATATTTTACTTATCAGACATAGTCTATTTATTCTAATGAAAAATTTTTAAATTTATTTAAACAATGAAATAAATAATATACATCGATATGAAATGTACCAAGATTATTTTTTACTTGCAGAAAAGCGAAAAACATTTTATGTCATTTTGGTGGGTAAATCACATAACTTTTATGCACAATGTATATATAACTACTACTCATCGACTATTAGTTTTATCAATTTCGAATATGTGTGTATGTGTTTTAATTACCCGACCATAGCTGCTACCTCGACGTGGTGGTCGGGCTTGCCTATCGTGATGACCCAACCAAGCTATACTGGCTGGAACATATCTTCCTACAGGTCCTACCATGCCAGGCAGGTCGATTGGAGAACGATGAGACTAAAAGCAGCTACCCAAGGTCTGAGGGCGAGGTCGTACTGCTGACTGCAGAGGGGTGTGACAGCAGTAAAGTGTTTCCCTCGGACAAACAGCATCTGCAGCGACGCTGCCTTCTCACAAGGAAGGAAGGGTTAGAAAAGGTCGACCCTAAAAATGTCACACCTCACTCTACCTCACGGATTTCTGTCTCCTTGAGTAAGCGTGCCCACTAAGGGCTTTTAAGAGCGGAGCTGACCCCCAAAAAACCTTTAACAAAAAGGCCGTGCGTAAGCAGTTGTCCCTCGGACTCTGCGGTCACGCTCCCAGGTCTCCAAGACCAACACTAATCTATTTTCCTTTTCAGGTCCCTCAAGAATCAACCTTCCACGGTGTGGGCAGCCGGTAAGTGACAACCGCCCTCATACCCGTAACAGCACCTGTTTTAATCAATAAAAAATCAAAACAGTTTATAATTAGAAAGTTGACAGCTGAGGTCATCCACAATGTTTTTTTTCTGTGTGCTTCAGATGTGAATAGCAATGTACTAGTACTACACTCGACATAATAATAATAACACATACAGGTGTAGATAACTGTCTAATGGGAATTGTACTATAATAATATGATTTTATTTATCTGCGCTAAATAAACGGGGTACAACACAATCGTAGCGCCTAGGAAACTTGAGCAAAAATGTAATCAGATGTTTTATTATAGTGAATGACGTGCTAATTAATTAACAATAGACACTTTAATATGTGTAGTTTGTTCTTGAATAAGTTAGATCAATGTACTATTTCAAAAGAGAATATTAGAGAAATATTACAGCAGACTTGTCGATTGATTGTTCGCTTGCTTAGAATTCTGTTAATTGCATAGTGAAATTCTCGTGATAAATAAACCAACTACAACAATATATATATGGTTACTGTGTTTAATTTGATTTTAACGAATTCAATGAACATTTATTAGAATAAACATTTTCGATATATAAAATAATAATCTCATCATCAAAAGCAATGTAAAACTTCATACATGAGTACATCAGTTCAAGTTGCCATACCACATTAGTACAGAGATGTAATTCAGTGAAGTAAATTTAGAAAGAGATGATAAGGAATTCAGAAGGTTATGACTTGAGAGAACACAAGGAATGTATGCACCTGAGCCATTGCAAACGGTTTCGAGCCATGTATGTCATTCAGGGTCTCTAACCATTGACAGACATTGGTTGAGATAATCATGGGGATCTCAACCAGGTACGCTGAATCTAGCAGCAGTATAACAGTTGATGAATTCATAAACCAATACAACGGTTTTGTTTGGTCACTTCCAGTTTTGCTCAAACCTACTTCAACATCAGTTAACATCGCCTACCAAAGTAGATGGTTGATTTGGAAGTAAATAATAAATCTTTCAATCATTTTGATCAATGAAGAATCTCTACCACATCAACTAATTCATTATCTTTAACCTAGTAATCTGCCTAATTTCAGCATTGTTAAATTGATAGTGAGCAATGTTTCGGAGTCATTTATAATGAAACGTTGTATACAGAGTGAACATTCCCTATTTTTAAAAGCTATTTCACTAAGAATAAGTGCAACAGAATGAACTGCTAAAATATATGCCCACTCTTTCATTGGTATTAAGCGACTCGTTTGAGGTGAGGTTTCGTCAGACACCAACCAAGTAGGGTTGATGAGACTTTTAGGAAGTGAAACGATCGACGAGATCAATCACTTCATTCCCGACGAAGCTTAAATGTACACGATGAAAACATACATAGTAGACAGCTTTTTTCTTCAAACTAATCAATACAAAGGATGGTGAACTTCAGATAATTAGTCCACTATAGTTAGTCATCAATTATGGTGGAGGAGAAATGCAAAACCATCCATCCTAGAGAGAGCATCCGACAGATTACATGTTTAATTACAATCAAAAGGGATTAGGATTTCCATATGTTACATCACGGACTAATTCCTACAGTAATTAATAACCAAATCTGAACCATTCCGTGTATGAAGTAGTTGTTTAACCCAGATGTTGTGGTACGACTGAGAGGAGAGAGTTCGCTCCTTCTCTTCAAATGGCGTATGAATCTACTCTTGGACACCGGAACAATGGGACCTCATCTCATGAAGCTGCCCCGTTGCCTTGTGGATTAGACCGGCAGGTCAAAAACTCTGGGAGTAGCTAGCTCCCTTAGAAAGGCGTCTATCTCGGTTTGGGTACCCTAGCAGTATCCCAACTCACTCACACAAATCCAATAGCTTTTGTGGTGCATAAATTATCTAGGTGCCTATTCGTACCACTAATCGTGTTTACACATAAGTAATATAAACCATTGGATGCTGGCTCGAATGTCCTGGATTCTCTGTATGATGCAGTCATGGAAGCACATTGCTGAGGTGAATCCCCATACTTAAAATAAAACAGCCATCCAATATTTTCAGTGATTGTTTTACATGGATCGGTTCATAAACTCAATACAATGAAAAAAAAGACTTCAGTTGGATTCTAAATATTATTCATGGATAATACATGAAATATTAGATAACCCGTTATATACACATTTATATATATAGATTGATATTTTATTTCATATCGGCTTAGTAGTGTATGTACTATTAAAACATTGATCGATCGAATTAGATAATAATTTCGGGTCATATAGATATATATATATATTTTATTCTCGAATTACAAATGATGTGCCTTACATATATATATGTATATATGCATTAAAGTGTATAGTAATGATTACACTACACAGATATACATACATACATACAAATAATAAAGATGGTGTGATTAGGACAGTTGTTAGATTAAGATTAAAATATGACTTTGATGTTGTTGTTGTGGTTGGTGTTGTATACATTTCTCCTCGTTAACTCAATGAATGAATGAATGAATGAAACGAATCTGATGAATGGTTTGATGTAAATTAGTGCATACTATATGGGTTATAACTACTAAGTAATGAAGTAATCAGTGAAGTACTATCACTACTACTAGTAGTAGTAGAAGTACTAGTAGTACAGTACTATTACAATACAATTACAACTAATCAAAACAAACTCTACATGATAAAAAAAAATCGTATAAGAGCATTGTCCGACAAGGGGTAATACTAAATTAATAAAACTATTCATATTCAAAGTGAAGTTTAGCAATAAAGATTTGTTGATTTAAGATGTCAAAAACATATTTAGAATAACAAGATTAATAGTAAAGAGAATTTGAATAATTACAGAGAGAGAGAGAGAGAGAGAGAGGATTAAACTATTGAGAATAAGGTTCAAATAAAAAAAACTAAAATGAAGAAAAAACCATATAGATAGATGAAATGACATTGGTGGTATTCAATACTGTAACGAAGATAAGAGTTAGTCTAATCGCGCCATTGATTAAGGCCAGTCAGTACCTACACCTTAACTAAAATGAATGATGGGCTGGTACCAGATTTTATCAAATTATCTCTACACAATAGGAAATATGATTTGCGTCAAGGCAACTATATCGTCAACTGGTCAAATGAATGAGGCATGGTGGTGTTGTGTGAAATCTGTCCATTCATTTGTTACACATTTGAAATCATGAATCGATCAATGTTAGTTCACTACTACTGGGAACCCATAAACACTGGATGGCCGTCAAGTCCTGGTATGGGATTCATCAGCAACGCGCATCCACGACTCTTGCAACTCGCAGGATTCGAACCCAGGACCTTCGGTCGTGCGCGCGAACGCTTAACCTCTATACCACTGAGCCGATACCTAACGGTGTTAATGTCTAACGTCG